ATGGATCACGCAGACCGTTCCGACGAATCTCGTGTGCGCGCGCGGAAAAGTGCGGAGGGGGCACGCAACCAAACACAAGTGGTTGACGACGGACTAACACACACCACACAGAAACAGCGTAAATTCGAGTGCTGCTGGTATATATGTGCGAAATGAATGGCTCACTGTCGTGTCGTGTCGAACCCCAGATGAAAGTACTATCTATGCTGGTGGTATGGCATGAATGGCACACCGCAATATCGTGGTGAAACTCACTCAACCTATCTGGAGGAACTGCCTTGTGGAAAGGGTGCAACACGCAACCTCTGCGAGCGACGAAACGTAGAGCACGTGTGAAGCGTTGATTGGGCCCCCTTCTCTCGTTCGGGGGTCGTCGAGCGTTTCACAATTCATGTCAGTCGTCGCACACACACTGAATGGAGGTACCGTAAAGAGTTAATGGTCCTATGTAAGGAAAATTCCTTTTTCTTATCGTACATCACTCTAGCACCAGAGTCAGCACCGTTACCACTCGCAACCCTCGCATCACTTAGTTTTACTTGACACTCAGAACCTCCGACTGCCCATCACCCCGAAACTCCGCCCCCGATACTGCGGGCCATTTCGCATAAGCCACATGCTTACACCCGTCACCGCCCACCTACTCCTCCCTGCTGACTGGTACGTCAGCCCTTCATTCCACGTCAGCCTGCTTCGCCCTTACGTCCCGTCCACGAGCCAACTGCCACGCAATCGCCCAGCCAGCATGACCAGACCACCAACTGAACCAATCATCACCCCCGAGAAAATCCTGAGTCACAGACTTCGCGACCCTCGAGGAGCCCGAAGGATCGAGTTCTTACCCCGCTGGAAGGACCGTACACCCACCGAAGACAATTGGGTTCCCCTGGACAGAATCGAAAATCACCCCGTCCTCACCAAGTATCTGCGCAGCCGAAATTTCAGGGATGTACATGCACTTTCGTAAGGAGGACCTCCTTAAGGGGGGGGGTAGTGTAAGGAAAATTATTTTTCCTTACTTCGCATCCCTGCTCAACGCGTACACCCCTGTAGCACCACAGTCAGCACCGTTACCACTCGCAACCCTCGCATCGACAATCCGCCCGCCACCTTCGCACGGCGCATCTCGACCTCACGGCTCGGCGAGTAACCCGCGCTCCGGGCCTCCGCTTCGACACTTTTCCCAACCTCAGTCCCAGGCCCGTCGCGCGACAACCACAGTCCATTACCGTTACCACTGTAGTTTCGCTATATATTCTTCGCTCATGCCTTCGCTTATTGTACTCTTGTTTCGATAGTGCAACTCTCGTTCGTTCACTCAATTGCACTCGTAACACTTGGTATTCAGAGCCTACGATCTCTTCTGGGACCGCACCCACACCTTCGCTTCCCCACTATCTCAATTTTTTTTGGGGGGGGTAGACGTCTCTCAGCGACACAGCACCGCCGCTCGTAGTGCTCTCTCATAAGCACGCACAGCCACGACCGAGGCTCTCGCTGAGCTCGCCCGACACCCCCGCCATGGCCGAATTCACACTCGCCACATTGACGCAGGAGCAGTTCGACCGTCTGGTGCGCCAACTTGAAGATTCGGCGCTTGAAATTGCGACGCTCACGGCGGAACGTGGCTCCGCGCGTTAGCAATCGACGATGAACACTCCAGCGTCACCACACGCACCGACAAATGCATCTGCACAATCGGACGAGCCGATCGTCATCTCGTCCGGCACACCAACACAAAACAGCAGCGTGGGACAGCGCTCAGACGCAGCCAGCGATGGCGCCGCCTAGCTGATGCCTGGCATGGGAGGAAACAGGGTCGCACCAAGCCCGTGGGAGCCTCGCGAAGCCCGTCGGCTTGTGGAGTTCGCGGCGACAAGTGGCGAGCAGGCAATTATGGCACCAATACTACTCAAGCCGCAACGCCCGCCCTGCTTCGACCCGAGCCAGCGTGGAGGTCCGACGGTTCAATCGTGGGTCTTCACGATGAACGTCTTCTTCGACGCGAATTACGTCGAGTCAGACGCAGCGAAGATTCGATATGCCGTTTTGCTGCTAAGGGGCCCCGCCATGGACTGGTGGCGAGTCATCGTGACGTCGCGACGCGCCTACAAGCCACCGTCGCAAGAGGAAGGGCCCACGGGCCTAGCTGTCACCTGGAGTTCATTCTGCGAGACCGCCCAATACAGCACGTGGGATGCGTGTCAGATGATTTTATTACTGATGCATATATTTAGGCTGTAGTGGGGTAGCCCATAGGGGGTACAACCCAATTAGGGTTGGTACTTGTACTTGTTTCATTTCATAGTGCACTCATTCTCTCTCTAATCTCAACATGGTATAGAGCGGGTCCTTCCTAAGGACCATTTTTTAAGGGCCCACCCACGAAATTTTCGCTGCCCGGAGCGCGCCCTTCTCTCCCCGAAGCGCGCTCCCCCTAGTCCTTCTCGCGCTGCCCTTGTGGCCCCCGCGAGTCGCGCGCGCGACCCTTTTTTTTTCGCGCGCGCGGCCCGGGCCACGTCGCGCTGGCCTTACGGCCGCGTCGCGCCGCCCTCGCGGCTCTGCTACGTCGCGCCGCCCTCGCGCCCCCCCCCCCCCCCCCCCCCCTAGCGCCGCCCGCGCGGCCTCATCGCCTGCCTCTGCAGGCCCCGACGTCGCACCTGCCGGCCCCGCCGCTGCACCTGCCGGCCCCGCAGCTGCACCTGACGGCCCCGCCGTCCCCTTCTGACGGCCCCGCCGTCCCCTTCTGACGGCCCCGCCGTCCCCTCTGCCGGCCCCGCAGCTGCACCCGACGGCCCCGCCGTCCCCTCTGCCGGCCCCGCCGCTGCTTCAGACGGCCCCGCCGCTGCACCTGACGGCCCCGCCGTCCCCTCCGACGGCCCCGCCGCTGCAACTGACGGCCCCGCCACTGCACCTATCGGCCCCGCCACTACCCCTGACGGCCCCGCCACTGCATCTCCCGGCCCCGCAGCTGCATCTCCCGGCCCCGCCGCCCCAGCAACTGCGCCGCCCCAGCAGCCAAGCCGCCCCAGCAGCCGAGCCGCCCGAGCCGCCCGAGCTGCCGAGCCGCCCTGTCGGAAACTTGGTCTTTCTGTCTCTCCTCTTGCCTTGTCCTTCCCAGCTCAGTACCTTCTTCCTTCTACCACTGTCTTTGTCTCGTGTCAGCCCCTCCCTCTTGTCCCTCTCTTCTCGGTGTCTCCTCTCCCCTTGTCTCACCCCATCAAGTTCCTCAACTCTCTCTTCATGTGTAAGTACTTGGCTCGATGTCACCCTCAGAGTCTCCCTAGCTCGGCTGACTGCAGGTGACTCTGAGGGGGCACTGGTACAAGGCTTGCTGGGATTGGCTCCTCCCTAGTAGGCTAACGCGAGTAGTAAGAAACTCTTAGCTGATAGAGGAAACATACAAGCAAGCAAATGAACCAGACCTGGGTTGCTTGCTTAAGTATGTGCACTGGGTTACCGTTGCCTGCAACGGTTGGTTTTGTTTCGTCAATTCTCTGATTTGGCGCTATTCGCCCCTGCCTACTTCGCTTCAACGCTACTCACTACAATGTCCTGTCATGCATTTATATTGCTAGGTCCTGCTTTCTTTTCTTCCGATTAAATGTATGACAGCTGTCGGAAACTTGGTCTTTCTGTCTCTCCTCTTGCCTTGTCCTTCCCAGCTCAGTACCTTCTTCCTTCTACCACTGTCTTTGTCTCGTGTCAGCCCCTCCCTCTTGTCCCTCTCTTCTCGGTGTCTCCTCTCCCCTTGTCTCACCCCATCAAGTTCCTCAACTCTCTCTTCATGCGTTGAGTGGCTACCCCTGCCTTTCCCTCTTGCCCCCTCCTTGGCGCTAACCCTCGCTCTGGTAGGTATCGCCGATGGACCCCGTTTGTGAAAGGCTCTTCTCTGGTCTGCTCCGGCTGCGGAGGGCCTGGGGGTACTCGCTGGGGCCTTGCCTTAGCTACATTCGTCTGATGATCCCTCTTCTCTTGCCCCTTGTCTCCCACTAGTACTACCACTCCCGACTCTTTGACCTCTTTCACTTTCCACCTCTCAGTGCTGAGCCCTATATCCAGCATGTCTTGCCTGGCTTGTTTGACATATACTTCTTCCCCCACCCCCAACGGTGCCCCCTTCGCCCCTGCTTGCTCTTCTCTCCTTCTTTTGTAGCGCTGTGCGTCTCTGAGCTGGGCCACATGCAGGTTCTCTAAAGCTGCTGGCAGCATCTCCCGTAGGTACCTTGCCCTAACCTCGGCCAGCCCCACCCAAGCGTCTTCCGAGCTCACTGAGACCACATCGGTCAGTACTCGTGGCGCGTCTATGGGCAAGATTGGCTCCCTTCCCAGCAGCAGGTAGTACGGCGAGAAGTCCTTTAGCGCTGCCTGCTTACTGAAGCGGTAGCCGACGACTACCCACGGGAGTCTCAGGTCCCAGTCCTTCTTGAATTGCTCCCCGTAACCTCTCAGTCCTCTCTTCACCGTCTGCACAAACCGCTCTGTGAGCCCGTCACTCTGGGGGTGATACCTGGAGGTCCGCCGATGGGTAATACTGCTAGCCTTCAATAGCTTTTCGAATTCGCCCAAGAATTCTGAGCCCTGATCTGTTAATACCTCCCCACATGCTCCGAACCGCGTCAACACCTGTTCCTCAAATGCCTCTGCTATCCTGGCCGAGCTCTTACTCGGCAGCGCCTTCACCTCCACCCACTTACTACCGTGTTCGATCATGATGAGTATGAACCGCTTCCCCCTTCGGCTGAGCGGCATTTCTCCGGCCATATCTAATGACCACCGAAATCCCAGGCCTCTGATGGGCAGCGAGTGCAGCTCTTCCCTCCCTCTCTCCATCTCGGCTTTGTTCCGGCTGCATAGTTCGCAAGAGCCCACCCACTCCTTAATGTCTCCTCTCATCCCAGCCCACCACCAGCCCGTCTCTATTAGCTGGCTTGTCCTCAGGCTGCCATAGTGCCCCAGCTGCCGGTGCACCCTCGCTATGATCTCTTCCCGTTCCTCTC